AGAAATGGAAAAGAGGAAGGAAATTTTGAGTAATTTTAGGAAGTCTTTGACAAAGCGGATGACAAACAACGCCTGCCTGACCCTCTGCCTGTCTGCGGCACGAGGGCTTTGACAACCGACTCCCTGAGAGCGGGGAGCGCAGTAAGCTGTCCATAAATCAAAAGCACTGAGACTATCAAATTTGTTTATTACTTGAGGTTGTGCCGCTGTGTTCCAGTCGTGTAGCTATTTTGTTTCGTTTCTTCTACCTCTGTTCCCCCACCCCAAAAAAAAAAAGAAAGAGATTTGTTGGAACATCATTGTATCATTCCCTTTATCCTTCCATTTTTTTTTTTCTTAAATTTTTTTTTTTTTTTCAGAAGGCTGCGAGCGAGCCGTGGTGGAGCTGGTGGTGTTAATGTTCTGCAGCAGGAGTGAAATAGCCTGGAGATGTGCAGCAAGAGCAGGGGCGTGTGCCCTAAATAGGAGGGTTAAACAGGGCTTATTCCGAGGAAAGCAGTAATTGCAGATTGCGTGAAGCAGTAATATTCTTTTGTGCATTATTTACCCAGGAACATCTGCTAATACATATACATTCTCCAGTGCGTGTAAACAACTTGTGCAGGAAGAGGATTAGGAGATTTATAAAAAAATTAGAAGCAAGTTAAAAGGGCAATTAGAAGAGCAGAAAGAGATATTGAGCAGTGAATTAGGGAGGATATTTTAACACACAATCAGAGCTTCCCGAGACGTATTCAGAGCAGAGAGAAGGTAAAAGAGAAAATTGGCCAATTACGAAATGATAGCGGAGAATTGGTGACATGGGAGAAGGTAATGGCTGATTTGTTAAACAGTTATTTTGATTCTGTTTTCACAAAGGAGGAAGAGGATGGAGGGCAGTTCTGGAAAGGACTCGGGTTGTATGGATGAGGGTGGGGATGAGCCGAGGAGCCTGCAGAGAGGTAAAGATGTGTCTGCAGAGCGGCTGGGCGTGTGGAGAATTTCACCCATATTCAAAGGGTGGGGAGAAAAATGGATTTCAGTGAGCGGCTCCTTACAGCCACGAGCCAGGTAGCGAGGGCCTTGCGTTATAACACTTGTTTTTGTTCTCCTAATTGGCTGCTTTTGGGCGGGGGCCAGGAACTGAGGTGGTCACTGAGATGAAAGCTCCTTCTCCCCTTTGAAGGCAGCTTCTCTGGGAGAGGGGAGGATGGAGTGTCTTGGGAGACAGCAAGATGGATGGGGCCTGTGGAGGGGTGCTGCTCCTGGGGCTGCTTTTATGTGGGTAGAGAGGTGGTTTGGCTCAGCAGCGATGCCAACGTGACACCTTCCCGAAAACACACGCTGCAAAGCCTGAGCACCGCTGCAGTCCTCTGTGTCCTGTTTTCATAGTTCTTTTGCTTCCATCTGTAACACACAAACTCCCAACGCGGTCAGCAATACAAGAGCATCCCTGTAGTCACCATTCCCATCAGCATCGGCTGGTGTCAGCGATCCTGTGTTCTGCCAAAGCAGCCATGAGCTTGGGGGCTGCTGGATATGTTAAGGGAGAGAAGAGGACTGGGGGAGCAGAGGAATGATGTCAACCCACAAGACCTCAAGAGATAGGAAGCGATGGAAAGAGAAATATTCTTGGTCATGCGATAGGAAATGGCATCTTGGGAAGTTTTGCTGGGGGTGTGGTTCCCCCTGAAGACAGGGAAAGCATACAAAGATGAAGGATTTAGGGAAGGGTGAACTTGAAAGACCACAGAAAGTGTTGTTTAGCTTTACAAGAAATGAGAAGTGATGCTTTTGTTCTGTCCCTCTGAAAGGGGTGCATGTTGCAGAGCAACTTCCCAAGGCAAAGGAAATAATTTTGAATTGGTGCGGGGTGGGGGGGCACAAGTGTTTTCTGGAAGCAGTGGGGAATATAGGAGGAACTGTGGTCTTGGTTTAGACTGATAAACTAAAAATTTATTCTCAGTATCCAAGACGTGTTTGGTTTTCATCCTGCCTGGGAGGATAAAGGAGCTGCAGCGTCATATGGTTTGTGTTTTCAAAGCATGTATGAAAAGCTCTGCATTAACAATTACAGGATGGAACTGTGGAAAAGTGGTACAATGGAGACAAGATTGGCTCCGACTCAGGAAATGGGATTCTGCCACCAGGGGTGAGTTTCCACAGGCACAGTCTGGGGTCTCTTCTGGGGTCTCGGGTGGATTATTTTTTTTTTTTTTTTTAATGGAAGATTTGCATGAACAGCCCAAAGTTAGAGCATTAAAGCTCATCGATGTGAAGGGGAAGGCAGCAGCAGCGACAGGAACTCGCCTTGTCTGCCAAAGCAACGCATGGTGCGGGCGGCAGACTGGAGAATGCAAAAGGAAAGGGAAAACGATGAGCAAATAAATGCTCAAGTGACACGTTTCCCAAGGGAGGCATTTAGAGCTTGCAGCCGAGCTGTGGGGAGCTATCGGCAGCATCTAACCACATCGGCAACAGGCAGCCTGTCTGCCTGCGCCCCAGAGAGGGGGGCTGATGCACATCCTGAGCTCCTGACGGGTGAACAGCCCCAGTTCACAGCTGATCCTCCTCGCTGGGAAGGGCTACGGTGGCACGGCCAGGGCAGTCCAGGCAGAGCTGTGGAGCACGGAGGGGTTTAGGCTTATAGAATCACAGAATCATTTAGGTTGGAAAAGACCCTTAAGACCATTAAATCCAACCTTTAATCTCTCACTGCCAAGGCCACCACTAAACCGTGTCCCTAAGTGCCACATCTACACGTCTTTTAAATACCTCCAGGGGTGGTGACCCCACCGCTTCCCTGGGCAGCCAGTTCCAGTGCTTGACAACCCTTTTGGTGAAGTCACTTTTCCTAATATCCAAACTAAACCTCCCCTGGTGCAACTTGAGGCAATTTCCTCTTGTCCCATCGCTTGTTACTCAGGAGAAGAGACCACCACCACTTCTCTAGAAGCTCCTTTTGGATAGTTTTAGAGGGTGATAAGATCTCCCCTCAGCCTCCTTTTCTCCAGACTAAACAGCCCCAGTTCCCTCAGCTGCTCCTCACAAGACCTGTGCTCTAGACCCTTCACCAGCTTCGTTGCCCTTCTCTGGACACGCTCCAACACCTCAATGTCTTTCTTGTAGTGAGGGCCCTAAAACTGAACACAGTATTCAAGGTGCGGCCTCACCAGGGCCGAGTACTGCCCTAGTCCTGCTGGCCGCATTATTTCTGTTTTAAGCCAGGATGCTGTTGGCCTTCTTGGCCACCTTGGCACACCACCAGCTCATATTCAGCCAGCTGTCGACCAGCACCCCCATGTCCTTTACCACTGGGCACCTTTTCAGCCACTCTTCCCCAAGCCTGTAGCTTTGCATGGGGTTGTTGTGACCCAAGTGCAGGACCCAGCACTGAGCCTTGTTGAATCTCATCCCGTTGGCCTCAGCCCATCAATCCAGTCTGTCTAAAATGGGATCACGTGGACCAATGCCCAGAATTGCCTCAAAGTGGCCGTGGTGCTTACCACTACCTCTGGGGTTCAGCCCTTTACCCCAGAGACCTCCCTGGCAAAACTTTGGCGTCTGGGAGAGATTCTAATTAAATCCCAAATTTCTCCGACTTATCTCCAGCCTGAGCCAGACTATCTCTGGCAAGTCATGGTTATACCTGTGTCTGCTTGACTGGAAAGATGTATTCTTTGGGGTTGTGGGAGTGCTGATTTGGAGAAGAGGGGATTCGTGCCAGCTCTTAGAGCAACATTCAAAATGCATAAAGACATGCTCTGTGAAGGGACTGGGGAGAAAACACACGAGAGTGAACCAGGGGCCTTGGTAGAGATGAACCATGCACGTGGGGAGTTAGTTATTGAGGCCAAGCGTCAGAGCATGCCATAAGAATTTAGTTTATTCTCAGAGCTGTGGTTGTGGAGGAAGGATGGGTGTGGGCAGGGAAGACAGGAAGAGCATCAGAAACCTATAGTCCATGTCAAGCGACACCTCCTATTTAGCTGTGCATCATGTCTCCCTTCTGGTTTTTAAACAGTAGCCTTTATTGCTAGGAGTTGAGAGTGCTTGATTGACAAGGCTTGTAATACACCATGGAGTTGCCTTTATTTTTCCTCCATGTTAAAGGAAAAGATACTAAAAATACAATTATGGTTTTGAGCCAGGCATAGTCTGTTCTAATATAATTCATCTCGAAGACTATCCATTGTGCCTGCTGCACCCAAATCATTTATAAAACATTAGCATCTCCTGTGCTGACATTTCACTCCTATATTACAGGAGTTACACACAGACTTAAAAAAAATTAATAAAGTGCTTCTCTTCTTCATTCTCCCACTGAGAGCTTTGATTTCCAGAGTATGAAACGAAATAACCAACATAACAACATTCTCCACTTCTAAGGGACAGTGCCAGACTCATTCAGTTGCTATTGGTTATAGAGAGTAGGACATGAGGGAGCTATTTCAGATCACGGATTATTTGTTCTGGCTGCATTGGACATCCCTTTAGTGGAGCTTTAGAGCCCTGTAGACAGAAAAGTTTGGGTAGGAGCTGGAAGGGGAGAGGGCTTGATGAAGTAATCTCTTCCTTTCTCCTCCCAGAGTTACTCCTGCTATTCCCCAAGAAGGATATTTAAAAGTGAAGCATCTAAGCCCTTGCCCCTTCTTGCATGTGAGATGGACAGAAGACACCATGCCCCCCAGCTGCCTACTCCCAGCACCCAACCAACTTAAAAATAAGTGCATCAGGGAAGTTTCTTTTTTTTTTTTTTTTTTTTTTTTTTTTCTTGGGAGTTTCCCTTTTCATTTCCAGATGCCTCCAGGGGATTTTCTGCTGCATAAATACCCTCTCCCCACCCCCAGAGTGGTTAGGAGAAGGATTTCCCGAGCTGGCCCATTTTTCCTGAAACTAGTGGTGTGTCTGATGGAAAACACGAGCTGTTTCCTTTGGGCTTTCCAGCCCCACACGTGAGCTAAGGGCTAGAAACATGCCACCACTGGGATATCGCTACGAAATGAAGAGCAGCCTTTTTCTTGTCCAAGATCACTTTTATTTCCCTTGTTTCATTAACTTCAGTGTCTGTTTGGTCTCACATATCCACGCTGACAGGGAATTCACACCGATTGCAGAATGTGGGCAGCACCTCCCCGAGCCCGTGGGCTGCCATCAGTGATGCCGCCAGCTCTGCAGTGCCCCCGACCCCGTGCATCCCTCCACAGCAGGGTTTAATTCAGGACGAGGAGAACAAGCAGATCTGCTCCCACTCCTCCACCTAGCCACAACCCCCTTCGTACAGCTGTCTTGAACCATTTATTTTTCTCTCCTACGGCAGACCAGAAACCCTGGGCGCTGCACTTCTTGCCAGTCCTCTACGAGCTGTAGTTTTCCCCCTTCTCTGACTCTTCCCGTGATACAACCTGTTCCTTTTAAGAAACAAAACCTCTCCTGACGCTGTCAGGACTACCTGCAGCCTGGGAACTGCTCCTTGCTGCCCCAGTGAAAACCTTAGTCCAGCTATAAAGGTCCTCACGCCACCGACACAGCTGGGAAGCCCCTCTCTGCCTCCAGCCCCAAAAAAGCCCCTTTCCTCCCCGGGGCCTCGCAGCGCTCTCCGGAGACAGAGCCCTATGGCTCTATTTATTTGGATGAATTAATCTCTTTCTCTCCCCTCGCTTACAGGTTAGGATGTAAGGGTGAGTTTTGGCTGTCTGGGTATGGACTTTGCTGCATCACATACAACCGCCCCCCCCACCCCTCCCAAAGTTTAGTGCTCTGAATTGCTGAGAACATTGGTCCACTGTGGTTCCCCCGCGTGTACTGAGCCCGCCCGATGGCTTTCAGCATCTGTAGGCACTGCTGCCGGTTTGTTTTCTCGAGGAAAAAAATCATATACTGGTCTGCTATAAATTCAACAATACAATCCTTAGTTCTGAAGATATAGTTTCCGTATAGTTTATAAACATTATAAGACATACATATGGATAATTGAGGGGAAGGGGGGAGCCTGTGCATTTGTTGGGGTTGTTTTTTCTCCAGATGTGTGAACATGGTTACAAAAAAACGCACCTCCTGCAGGTACCTCATTTCTTTGTGTTGGGTTTGTTGTTTGTTTTTTTGTTGTTGTTGTTTAATTCCACCTCTAATCAGTCTTTCCTTTGGTTGTTGGCTACTCCAAGCCCAGCAGGCAAGCCCTGTTCTGCTGTAATGCCTGAGATATTCAGGGGTTTGAGATTGTCTTCTAAGAGATTCCCAGCCAACTTTGGCCTCTGGGTTTGGAGCCAAAAGGGCTAAAACGTGGGAGAACCAGTGATGTCCTTATTACATCAGTATCAGTGTCCTTGCACTCACTTTCAGAGAAACGGTGTAGGCTTAATCGGTGATCGTTTTTACAGCAATTATGTTCCTTTCGGTAATTGGAGGGGTCATTCAGAGCGCTCTCAAATGAACAGGATTTCACAAGAGCATGGATACAGTCCATTGTCCGGTTGTTGTCACCGACAAATTGGCTACCATCCCTGTTATCTGGGTTTTTGTAAGGTTGGCTTTTTTTTTTGTTGTAGGTGCTCGGTTAGGCTGTTTGTGACAAGGTGTGATAATGCCTTTTAATCTGCTCCCGCTGCGTTCGGCACAGTCTGTGTTGGCAGCCCGGCCGGGCACGGAGAGACCGTCAGAAGCCGAGACAACGTTCTTCCCTTTGCCAGGCCAACGCTAGCCACGTACAAAAAAAGAAGAAGAAAAGAAACTCTGGTCCTTTGTAGATTGGTGGCAGTACAGATTCGCTCCGTCCGCAGCCGGGGGCTCAGCGTATGACGGCCGCTAACACCATCATGAAAACCAGGAGCGAAGCCCTGAGCCCCGAGCAGCCGGCTGCCTGCTGGACCCCGCTGGGGGGGCGGATGGGTGTCCGCCGAGTACACTTACCCTTGCGTTTGGGGGAGAGCGTTGGCATCACCCCGAAACTGAATTTGTGCTGATAATCAGGCACATAGTCTGGCATCTCCTGCCCATTTTTCCGCGGCCCCAAGGATACCGGTTTAGAGGTTCGGTTACGGGTTTTGTGGCTGGTGCAGTTCTTGCCGGGTTTGCGATAGCCCGGCCGGGAGCCGGGGGGGGCGGCGGGCTGGCTGCTGTGCAAACTGTTCTCGGCCCCTCTCTCCTTCCCCTTCTCCTTGGAGGAGTGGTGAGGGTGGTGGGTTTTGGAGGCTCCTCTGTCCACCGTAGAGAAAGTATGTGTTTTAATCTGATGGAGCGACTCGGACCCTGAACAGTTCCTAAAGTCTTCTGCTCTTAGCACCTTGAGGTCCTTGCCGTGCATCTGCTCAGGGGACTCGCAGATGACGCTGGAGCTGGAGCCTCTGAATCTGTGCAGCCATTCCCAGAGCGAACGGGCTTTGCAATCGCAGCTCCACGGGTTCCCGTTCAGCCTGAGAAACTCCAGGGCTCCCAGGTGGGCCAGGCAGTCCCCCTGCAGCTCCGAGAGGCTGTTATTGAACAGGAAAAGGGTGGTCAATCTTCGGAGGTCATGAAAAGCCCGCCTGTGAATCCACTGCAGCTGATTTTGATGGATGAGCAGCCGATCCAGGTTTATTAGTCCCCTGAATGTGTTCTGATGGAGGCTCCAGAGCTTGTTTCCATGGAGAAAAAGATGGCTGAGGTTAACCAAGTCAACAAAAATATCATCCTGAAGGAACTCGATGTGGTTGTCTTGCAGGTAAAGGTATTGCAGGTTGTGGAGGCCACCAAATATCCCGCTGGGGAGGGAGCTCAGCCCACACTTGTACAGATACAAGGCGTGGAGTTTCACCAGCCCTTGGAAAGTGTCTGCAGCTAAAGCCCTTAGGTAGCGGTTGTCTCCCAGGTCCAGCTCTTCTAGATTGACGAACCCGTCGAAGGTGTTGGGGTCAATGAAGGTGATGTTGTTGGAGTAGATCCAGAGGGTGACCATGGAGGGACTGAAGTGGCCCCGCAGCAGCAAGGTGATCTGGTTGTTCTGGAGAAAGATCCTCTCGCTGTCCTCAGGGATGCCCTCAGGGATGGTGACGAAGTTGTGAGCCTGGCAGCTGACGGTCATCGGGGACGGGTAGCACACGCAGTCGGTGGGGCAGCCCAGGGCGCCAGGCACCTTCAGCCCCAGCAGCACCAGCAGCAGCTCTGCAAACCCCCCTGTGAGGAGAGAGGGGAGAGCAGCGTCAGCGAGGACTCGGGCACCCCCCGCCCACCCATCACTGCCATGGGGACTATTCCGGCTGAAAAACGCCCCCAATTAACTCAGCCCTCCTCTCTGCTCATGAATTACCCACGCGGCTCTGATGAGTAGGCTCATCACCCACGGTACTTTCAACATGATGTATGGAGTAGTCCCTGCCTCCTCGCCCTGCCCGCAACAGGCAGGCGGTTGTGCTCCCAGCCCGAAATGGGCAGGAGAAACTTTCTCGGTGAGAATTCATGCTGGCAGCGCAGGCAGCGAAGCCCCTTGCCTGCAAGCAGGCAGCGCAGTCAGAGGAAATGCCACTGTGCAAAGGTGTGAGAGCAAACAGAGGAGATGCAAACCCTCGTAGGTGTCCACCCCTCCCGTAATGCGTCTCTTAAATCACACGCGCTTACATAGCAGAGAGGGAAAAGTACAGAGCTTTAGTAATTCCCAGCAAATCACCTAAAATTACACATGTGCAGTGCATCTGCACAAGACCCCCAGCTCCCACAAAGGTGCAGACCCATCCCTGCCATCTCTTTTTACTACAGTTGTCAGACACCACCATCCACCCTGAAAACCAAGTGATTTACAGGAAAATATGTTGTCAGCAGTTGGTGGAAAAGGCTGAACTGAAAACTCCGTTTGGAAGTGGGATGCTCAGACATATTTTTAAATGGATGTCCTGTGGCAACACATATTGCATCCTCTAATGCTACAGTATGTGCCTGTGACCGAGGCTTTCTCGCTGCAGAGGAGAAGCGGTGAGCAAGGCAGTAATCATCCCCTCCCTCTGCTCAGCTCTCAAAGTGCTGGTTTCACCGCCCCGTTCCCGTCTCGCTCCCACTCCTCACACCAGGCTTGCTTTCAGGCTATTCCTTCTGTGCCGAGTGGCTTTTCAAACTCGTTGCACCAGACTTGTCATTTCTCATTCAGATTTTCCTCCTAGATTTGGCTTTTTCCTCTTACATGCAAAATTTGCTCATGTCTAATGAATTCTGCCTCCGGACTTTACAGGGGAAAGGAGTAACGTCGGAGCAGCACACAGCTGCCGGTGCCATCCTGCCCACGAGTCCTCGCCTTGCGCTCAGCTTGTACTAATCTGAAAAACGAGAGTGGAAGTGGAGTTCATCTCTAATTACTCCACATCGTTATCACCAGCTAGACCATGAGCCTGGACCCCTTGGGCTTTTACAGTCCCTCTTTTCAGTGCCTACAGCTGAATACAAGTGGGAGGTGAAAAAAAAATATCACTGTTTTCTTATTAATTGTGTTTGAAATATAACTCCATGGTTACCATTGCCTTTTGCTTGGTATGGAGATCTATTACCGTTTAGTTAACAGCAGGTGACCTGTCCATCTGGATCCATCCTTTCAAGGCAAAGTTGTCACATTTTTAGATAAACTGGGTTATTCAGACTCCATAAATCACCAGTAAGAGGCAGTTATCTCTGACTGGGCTGTTTAAAAAAAAAATAATAAAATTAAAAAAAAGCATTGCTAGCCAAAGCATTGGACCAAGCCTTGGCTGTGATGAGAAGAGGGGGACTTCTTCCAGGCGCTGCCCTTCAGAAATTAAGCATTGGCTACCAGGAGGAATGTCTCATTCCTGCACTGCTGCCAGAAAGGGGCTGTAAGTCAGGAACGTTTAATTCGCGACAACTCCTACGGCTGTGTAGGAAAAGGAACGTTCTCCAAGTCACCGCCGTACCATTTTGGCTTTGCTGTCGTGCCTTTGCGATGAGAGAGGGGTTGTGCTGGTGGGAGCATCGTGCCTGGTGCTGACTACGGAGCGCTCCCTGCCAACACGGGAGCCCTCGCTGCAACTTGCCATGCAAGCGCAGCCTGGGAAACAGCAGCATCCTGAGGATATTGTGATGATCTGAGTGCCAGATAACGATGGTGAAGATAAATCTACGGTTGCAGATACGTTCTGCTGGGTTTTTTATCCGCGGATGTGCTTCGTCAAGGTGGGATGGCTTCGTGGTCCCTGTCGTACCTTGGTGACACCGAAGTACGAAGCCTTCTGTAGGTCTTATGTTTATTAGTAAAATCCTGCCAGGCACCAGCGCTGTGACGATCTCCCACATGCAGAGTCTGTTATTGCAAATACCAAATCACAAGGGTCTGAATCAATAAACCATCTCCCAGCTATAAGCAGCAGGTTGGAAGATTACATATTGCTTCCAAACAACAGTTTTATGCGCTCTTCCGTGACACAACAGTTGCCAGGCTAACGGGATTACTGACGGGAGGTGGAGCCGGGCAGGGATCTGGGAGCATACATGATTTCACTTATAGGGATGGTGATGACAGGCGGCTGTTAGCAATGCACGGCGATGGACGAAGGCAGCCTCGGTCTGCCTGGAACACGGCCAAGGTAGAAGCTCCTGTGGAAAGGGAGCATGGTGTTTAACAGCTCCCTGCCTGCAGGGATAACTCCAAAGGTAAAGGTCAGAGGGAACTGAGTCCATCTCTTTAATTAACAGGCATTTGTGAGTTAATGGCTGGAGTTCTGTGGAGAGGGAGATGTGACTCTCATGGTGGTGGATGGCAGCGGGGATAGCCTGGGGTGTTGCTCCTTCTCAGCTTCCCAAGAGTACAATGGTAGGAAGAAAAGCCAGGGATGTCTTTCTACCTATGTGCTGCAACTCAGGGGTAAGGAAAAAGGGGAAACAGAAGGACAGATGAGTAAAAAAAGAAGAAGAAAAAAAAAAAGGTCAGCAGGACTTGGAAAGAGGAAATATATGAAACCTCCAGTGGATGTACTCAAGGCACGTGATCTCATCAAAGATGCTTTCCCTCCAAGCCCATAAAACCTGCCGAGTGCCTAGTGCTGTGTGAAGCTGCTCCTGGGGTGTCCTGGGCTTGGTCACAGTTCAGACCCAGGTATGAGAGCCCCTCGGAACAAAGAGGCTGTGGTCACAGCGCCACCGAGGCTCCCGAGGCTGCTAACACCCACGTCGCGATGGCCGGCAGCCCAGCCCCACCGGGACGAGACAGCCAGCAGCGCTTGGGTCCCGCGGGCTTCCCAGGCTGGAAAATGCCAGTGGGAGCTTCCCACAGGTCCCAGCCTAGCTCACTGAGAGTTAGACCCTGCCTAACTTGTTGTACTCCTTATTCCCGATGCAGCCCTTTCAACTTCATCTTGTAAAGGTTTCGAGGCAGATGGAGGGTCACCAGCACATGTGTCAGAGCTCACCAGGGAGGGAGAGCTTCAAACGCGGCACGGAAAAATCCTACAGGAACCTGCCGGTGAAGTGAATAAAAACAAAGTCCTGCTGACACGGATAAAACCAGCAAGGGGGTGTTTATCTCCTGGCTTTCTCCCACTGATGTGCTGTGTCACCCCGGCTTCTGCTCGCCGTGTCCTTCTGCCGCCTCCTGCTTTGGACTGAGGTTTCAGTGATTGGAATGAATTCGTCCGACTGTCCAAACCATTTCCCATGTAGCATCTCTCTAATTGGGCATTAATTAGGCATCAGTTAATGAATGCTTGAAATAATTTATCTTTGGATGCGTCCAGTTTGCAGTCTTACTTTTAACAGCATTAGACTCATTATTAGATTAACATCATTATAAATGTTCTCCATTACCTGCTTGTTTCCATTGTCTTAGCCTTATTACTGAGAGTGAAAATCACTCCTCCCGCATGCATTATTGATGAGTAAGGACTTTCTATATGTAGCACGGGATTAATTGTTATACAGTGTAATGCATTTAGCGTGAAGCCTCAATTTGTGCAAGAGCTGAAAGCGGCCAGAAGAATGCAGACGCCCGGAGCCAGCATGCTCGGCCAGACACAGCACATCTCTCTTCAGCCCAGACCAGGTTCCTCCCGGGCCGGTGCCAGCACAGGAAGAAATAAAAAAAAAAAGCCGGTTTGATACCCAAGACTGGGGGGGAAGGTTTGAAGGGTTGGAACACTTCTCTGCCACCGCGGCAGGGAGGCTGGCCCCAGCTCCACTCTGCGGGCAGCCTGTCCTCATGGCACTGCCTGATCCAGAGAGCTGGGTGTACCTGCGCCGGCAGCTTTCTTGCATTTTAGGGCTTTTAATGCTTTATCTTGGAGCAAGGCAGAGCTTTGGTTTATTTAGGAAGATGTAATGCTACTTATTTTCATTAGGAGTCTCAGGATTGAGGGGAAGAAAACATTTCGGACAAGAACAGATGCTTCGGCCTCAGGGAGGATGCACCTGCAGAGCCCCCCAAAACACCGCCCCGCCACAAGCCCTCGCCACCCCTTGCCCATTCCCTCTGTGAGCTGCTTGCCTCGGGTGGAAACTTTCACCTCTCCACCCGGACAAGCTTATATGGGTCACAGCCTGACTAATTCTCCAGCAGGATCTGGTCTCGAGGATGGAGCAGGTTGCTTCTCTTTCAAATCTCTCCTAAACCACCATCTGCTTTGGGAGACCCGTCTTAGCTCATGTCTACATGCAACTTGACTGCCTGCTTACTGTGTCCATTACCGGTGCTGCTCAAGCTGTTAGATTTATAAGCTCTTTAGAGCAAAGCCCTCGTCTTCTGGTTGCTGATTTATGTATCTTTACTGCCATAAAACACTATGTATAGCTACTACATAATATAAATAATAATACTTAACCAGAGCAAGCTACAAGTGGGGACAAAGCATCTGGCTTCTGCTCGCAGCCGGGATTATCAAAGAGGCAGAAGCTTACTCATCACTCACCCTCTTCTGAGGCCAAATTCACACCTGGTGTAACACTACCACCTCGCTGCCAACGAGCTCCAGCGAGAGATTTCCCTGCCCTGCTCACACCCTCAGTCTATCAGAGGATGCTTTCTAAATCCAACCCGGTGAACTGGGGCACAAAGGCACAACTACCACCCTCGGGGGAAAATACACTTTGAAACTTGGGAACTAACTCAGAATGGGATGTTTGCACTGCCGTAGAGAGAAAATGTTGTTTAGGGAGAAAAAGAAGGCTCAAATGTTCACAATTTCATCTGCCAAGTGAAGTATGATGAAAGGCAAGGCCAGAGCAGCGATGGCAACTGGGCGCGAGCCAAGAGTGAAACTTCAGATCTCGGATGGGTTGACAAAGTGGTGTCAGACCTCTGCTTAGTAGCTGCTTTTTTTTTTTTTTTCTTTTTTTCAACACACAGAGGATAAATAAACAAGCCCATCCTGACCATCACAAAGACTAAATTCCCCAGCGAGCAGCAGCTTTCTTTCAGCCACCCTGCAAAGCCCTTTAGGTGCTGCCCCGCGGTCCTGCAGCGCTCGGCAGCAGGCGCACCCTTGGTGGGTTTGCTCCCTGTCACATCAGCTGCCAGTTCCCAGCGCCAGGACGTGGCACAGGGCTTTGCTTTCTGCACGAGCTGCCTTTCAGCTGGAGAGTGGCAACCACTCATCCTCCTTCATAATTTTTTTTTTTTTTTGGTGAACGGCGTCATAAATAACTGACAGATCCCAGCTGTTTGGAGTTATGGTTTCTGATGGAGTGACAGCTGCTCCCAATCCCCCAGTCATCACCCCGGCAGTTCTGGAACATTTCAGCAACATAAAAATCATTGGAGATCATTTCGGTTTTGCATAATTTGGTTAGGCAAGCTGTGATTTAATGGCAATTATGACCTCTGAGGCAGAAGATGAGCTTGGAGACTACCGGCTTCACACAACTTTAGCTTGGGGTGCAGTGTCAGGGATGTTCCAGGGAGAAGGTACTACAAGAAAAAAACCTTCTCCAGTGGCTAGAAATTGCCTTCCTTCACTGGCAAGTAGAAAGACTGTTCCCAGGGGAAGAAGCATACAAGGAAATTTGGAAGGAATATTGCTAAGGAAAGCTTTGGGAAGAAGCTGGTCCCAAAAGATGCATCAGGAGGTACCTTTCAAAGAAAAGCCAGGGAAAGGCTTTAGACTGGGGAGTGCTGTAGCCCCTACAAACCTTTCTCTGTCACTGGTACCTCACGTAGTGACTGGTATAAACCTCCTCTTGGTCACCCACCTTGGTAGCCCCGGCATTGAAAAGCAAGTCCTCCTCAGGTGACCAGGATGGGAGAGCCAGCTAGCACAGGGAATGGGCCATGCCCTTTGCAGGCACTGCCCATTGCTCTCCCCTCTTAGGGGGTTTCTATTGCTCTGGGCTGTGTTGCCTCCTCTCCTGATGCTCCTCAGCCATCCCAGAGCCCCCTAGTTTACATTTTTCCAGCGGTGACCGACTGGAGCAAACCCTTGGTCAGCCAGGCTGAGCTGGGCAGGCGGCTGAGGATGGAGAACTGTGCTCAGGAGCTCTGAGGACATCATGGTGCTTCATGAGGGGCAAAATGTTGCTTAGCAGCAGAAGTGGCCTTTGTCTGGAGCTGAGAAGATCCAAATTCCCCCCTTCCATCACTGCTGTCAACCAGCTTGGAGTCTGCTGTGAGCTAAAGCTCAGGGCAGAGACCTGGGGTCAGCAGCACCTCAAAATTAAGTTCCTTTAGGACATCACAGATTCATTTTACATCTGCTGACCCAGTATCTGGAGCTATTCACCTTCCTCCACCAAAGTCGAGGCCAAGGTCACCTGGAAGTTTCTGGATGGTGGTCATTAACTCCTATTGCAGTTTGAAACCAGACCATAAATTTCATAGTGTAATAATGTAAAAATCAATAACTCTGTTTGAAACAATAGCTTTGTCTTCCATTTCAGCCGGCTCTGGTATCTCCCCACGGACCACGTCCCTCTGAATCACACAAATAAAGAGAGAGGAGCAGTGGGTGGCAGGGCGGCTGCTCTCCTGCCAGGTGCCCGGCCCCTCTGTCGCTACAGATTCAATTACTTAATTTATTCCTCTCTTGCAGTTAAACTCGAGGATAATTTAAAAGGGGGGGAAAGAAGCCTTTTGCGCTCAGTCTCTTTGACATCCCATCCGACACAGCATCCCTGAAGATTTCCATGTGAGGGATGCCTGAGCCTCCCCCTGCCCATCGCCACGGGCAGCACAGCCAAAACCCAAAACCCTCCTGGAAAGGTGCAGCACCAACTCACATGAGAGCAGCCAAAAAAAATTCGAAGTCCGCTCTTTTCCAGCTCTGGTTTTCTGGGCGAAGGAGGTCTGGCTTCCTTTGCTTGCTTATTTTTCGTTGTTTGCTGTAGCACTGACTCGAAATATACATCGAGAGGCAGGATTGTCTTTCACATGTTGGTGGATGTGTGATCCTCAAAAACAAATTAGCACCGATTCACTTCTATATAGAGTGCAGCCATCAGGGAATCACTCCTGAATTCACAGCGAAGGAAAGTAATAATGCTTCCAGCACGCTAATCCTCTCCAAGAGCAGCCCCTGAACTCTCTCCTGGTGCTGGAGGCACCACTGGAAATTACAATTGTACTGAAAAAATAATAAATAAATACAGAAATTGGCAGGGTTTGTGCTGGTCCAGAGGATTTGTACCCTAATGTGGAACTCCCTGTTTAATTAGCACTCCTCTCTGTGTCTGCATCTCCTCCTCCCGCTGCTTGAGCTAAAGAAAAAGGGGGGAAAAAAAAAAAAAGAGGAGGCCAACAGTGGAAGTGGCTGTGGGACTGGAAACTCAGCTGTAGAAACTTGTTTAATTTAAATGCTTGTTTCAGGACTAACATATGCAGAAACAGAGGGAATGTAGAGCATGTTTTCCCCGTGTAATCTGCTGCGCTTAACCCCAGTTTGCAGTGCACCTTCCACTGCAGCAGCGCCCTTGGAGTACAGCTGCAGTCAGATGCTACCGGTCCTACGGCTGCAGGCACGGGGCACAAACCCAGTACCTCGCTGCAGAGCCGAAAATCCCGTGTTTGGGAGAAGATTATCTAAATCAGAGGCTGGGCTGCTGCTTGTTTGGGGTTGGAATGGAATGGAATGGAATGGAATGGAATGGAATAGAATAGAATAGAATAGAATAGAATAGAATAGAATAGAATAGAATAGAATAGAATAGAATAGAATAGAATAGAATAGAATAGAATAGAATAGAATAGAATAGAATAGAATAGAATAGAATAGAATAGAATAGAATAGAATAGAATAGAATCTTTCATTTGGAAGAGACCTACAACGATCATCTAGTCCAACTGCCTGACCACTTCAGGGCTGACCAAAAGTTAAAGCTTGTTATTAAGGGCATTGTCCAAATGCCTCTTAAATACTGACAGGCTTGGGGCATCGACCACCTCTCTGGGAAGCCTGTTCCCGTGTTTGACCACCCTCTCAGTGCTTCTGAATGTCCGGTCTAAACTGGTGCAGCTTTGAACCATTCTCACACATCACACCACAGGATACCAGAGAGAACAGATGATCTTTTCCTGACTCTCCTTTCCCTGCTGCCAGAGGGTTTATTGTGCCTCTGTGTCTCGTCCCATTGCGCATGATGGGCCAGCATCTCAAAAGCCACTGGGACTTTCCTGGAGCAGAGACATGCTGCAGGGAAATGGCACGTCTCTCTTTACACATGGATGAGTCGAGTCCTTGGATTCTGCTGCAGCTGGAGGTGTCGATGGACACCAGGTTGTTCCCACTCCTCCGAGAGATGATGGCGTGGCCCAGGGGACACCCCAAGCGTGGTGTGCACAGATACTGCAGGATTTCAGGCACGGCCAGGAGCTTCATCATCTCCTGGCACTGCTGTTCTGACCCCCAGCAAGCCCCAGGCATCCTCTGCTGGTCCCTGGCACAGGACGGGGCTCTGGTGAGACATGCCAGCAGCCTGCAGTGAAGCTGGGCCAGGAACTGGCAAAGGACAGAGACATCTTGAGGTCCTTGAAAAGGGACTAATAATTCCAATTGCCCCAGAGGAGAAAGAAATACAGGAGGATGACTTGAGCTTAGTGGATTGTCTCCGGGGATCATCAGATACTTCCACTCCCTTTTTGTCCTGAGGTGACAAGTTTTCTTTCCCATTCACAGAAATGCAAAGTAGTTCATTCACAGAAGTAATAAGAACAGTGTCCTTTGTAAAACAGCGGGCTAGCAAACCCTCCGAGGTGCTCTACAGCAAAACAATTGCAGATGAAATGACAAAACCCACCCCAGATGAGTGCCAGCCAGATCGGTATCAAATGCTGAACAAGCTCACGTGTAGCGAAAGCAGATTCACCAGATCATTTCCCTGCCAGCGGCTGGTTACGACCTACGGAGGGTTTCTATAGGATCAGAAATACAACCAGGACAGAGCAAGTGTGAGATGGAAGAGCAAAGTGACATCTGCCCGGGCTCTCAGCGCACGCTCGGCTGCCACACCACCCAGCCCATAGCCACAGGAGATGCGAAAACCAGAGGCCACAGAAAACTGGAGGCTGCCGAAAACCAGGGATGTGCTGGATGGACCTTTACCTGGATGGAGCAGGGAGCGAATGATGGCTTGAAACAGGGAGGTGAAGGGCCCTTCTGCAGTGTTTTTATGCTAGCATGGCTAATAGGGAGAGCATTAGCTCTATAAACGTGTAATCCTGCTGAGGTCCTGACCCCAGCAGTGTCCTGTGCCACAGAGATCCACAAGCCAATTACGTACCGTGCCGTGTAGGCTCCCTTTCATCCCTTTTCAGTCTTTCTGCATTTCAGATTTACTGGATGTCCTTGCGTTTGGTGGAGAAGAGGGCAAATTGGAGCCTGTCATGTATCTTCTTCCCCATTCAGCAGCATATCATTCTGCCTGCAGCAGGGGGGAAGGAGACTGATGGGCGGGCATCAAAGCCGCCAGTTCTGTCGCATCTTCTTCCCTCCCCCCCACCCCCCCTGTGCCTCGAATGCAGCGAGGCCAAGTAATTACGGGATGGGGGCTGCAAGGTCTCAACAGTCTAATTTCTATTAATTATAGCCCGCATGCAATCCGGTCGCAGTGGAAAGGGGAGATGAGGAGATGGTAAATCATCGCAGGGGCTGGAAAGGGGCTGAAAGATGGTGGTGCCGACCCGGCAGCAGCCGAAATGGCTGGGTCAGCCTCAGTGGGGAGGTATTTACGGCAATGAGCAACAGGCAGGGCTGTATGGAGTGACTGGGATGTTTTACACTCGGCCTCCTCCCATCGTGTTGCTTAAATGCACATTTTGCAAAGTTGAAACAAATCACAAATAGCAGAAATCACGGTTTTTAAGGGAGAAAAAAAAAAAAAAAAAAAAAAAAAAAAAAAAAAAAAAAAAAAAAAGGAAGATCTTGGCAGAAGGATAAAGGAAGGCAACTGAAATGCTCATTAAAACTGAGGGGCTCCATTTCCCTGTCCAAGTGGCCACATCTTCTCCAGAGGCTCCCAGATGCTTTGAATTGCCTTGTCAGACAAAGCCTTTCATCCTACCTGATGCTGGCTAAATTCATGGACCCAGAATTTTTTGCTGGAAATGGGAAAGAGGGAGCAACTCCATTCTGACTTTTCACTTCCCATCTGATCGCTGTTGATACAATTTATTCCTATGACAGCATCTGCTGCTTTCATGGGGTTTTTATTCTGAAGTACAACTCATCTTTGTTAGTCCCATTTTCAGGCCTTTCATCATTTGAGTCACAACATAAAAGGCATTTAAACACTCATGCTTGGAAACCAGGCTGGGGGAGAGGGTGGGAGCAGAAGACACCATGTCTCCTCAGCCCCAGCCCTCCTCCAGTGCAGGATGGGGTGTCCCGGTGTATCGCAGCCCCACCACGCTCTCCCCATGCCTCCTGTCAAGGACAGCAGCGATGGCAGCGACGTGTTTCCCTTTTAGAGTGATGCTGTGAAATCCAGATGTGGTTCTTAGGGGCGGCTTCACGCACAGCCCTACGGCCCACATCTCTGCCAGAGCAGTGTCTCTCCCAGCCACTACCAAACCCCAAACGCTCCGCAACCACCTCGTCAGCCAAACCTCTTTTTAGACAACTAATTGCTTTTTGCTGCAGCAGCTCCAGCCCAGGCTGTGGTACGTGGCTCCCTATGCCCCCATTCTGGGGGGCATCTGCCACTCACAGCCACCCACACCCCCTCTGAGCAAACTGGGGCCTCTTGTCCCCACCGGTGCCAGCAGATCCTGCTCTGCCCTGGTATCTGCCGAGCTACTGGAGGCATCGGGGAGTTTGCAGCTACCCACAGAGACCTACTGGAGTCTAATAATAGCGCCGTAGTGTCGCACCAGCAGAGAGCTGGAACAGCTGCGTCTGGCAGGGAGAGGCCACCGCTGGCTTCCTCTGCCTGCCCCGGCTCCTGCCTGCTCAGCTGGAAGAGGAACCCAGGAACCTCCGCCCTGCCCAGCTCCTCTCCAGCCTGGCACCCAGCTCCATTCCCCTGCAGCCCCCGCTGTGGCTGACAGCCGACTCTCCACGCGACAGGAGTCCCCTGCCAAAAGCAGCGTGCCTCACACTGCTCCCCAAAACCCTCCCCACGCAAATGCAGGGGGCACTGGGCTCCACTCCTGAGGCAGGATTTGGCCCCCATGGAGGAGCCACCAGGGCTGCAAGACGGGCAGCACCCACACCACCACGTTCCCACCTTGGTGGTGGGTGATCATCCTTGGGGTGCAGTGGCCTTTCCACCTCCCACTTTGATTCCCCTGCTGTATTTTTCAGTCCAGTAAGAGCCAAGCTTCTACCGGTCTCCAACAGGCTTTCT